GGTGCTGATAATTTTGTAAGAAATGTCCTTTATACATTTGCCTTGCTTTGCCTTTAAAACAAAAGTGATGGAAGCCACATTATTCTGACTAAAGTGCATGTTACATGAATGGATAGATATTGAATGGAATGGATAAGCATTATGGACCTGTCCCACCACCACACAAAGTTTGAGATTTAAGTTGATTGACTGTTCATATTTGTGAGTAATTCACTGTCCATATAGTAAAGTGACATGCAAGACAACATTCATAAGTGATTCATAGCATTTTAAGGAGCTGTTAATATACCATATAGTAAAGTGACATGCAAAGCAACATTCATAAGTGATTCATAGCATTTTTAGGAGTGTATAAACAGTGATAGTAATTCACAATTAAATTTCTACAAGTATTTTCCCTACCTTTGCAGCAAGACCCAATGACTGTGAAAAGGAGTCAATAAACACCACAAGTAGGAAGGTCCTTTTTTATAGGTAAGACCATCTTTCAGAACAGGCACTTAAACATGCTGCTCAAACTCAAATCAGGAAATACAAACTCTTCTGAACATGGAACTGCAAAATACAGATGTGTTTGCTAAAATCTTCAATTCTTTTCTAAAACAAAAATAACAACACACCACCTCACGTGGCCATTACTTAAAGGGTATTGCCTTCACTTTGTTCCTTTTCTTCTTGAAAACTGAAATAGTTTTAAATTCTCTAAAATGGCACAAGTCACTGCAACTTCTTGAGGAGCATAACAGTATCAATCTGAGTCTGAAGATATCATGATACTGGCACTGCTGCTGGTTGTCTGTCCTCTTCTGGCTATAAAAAGACCATACAGGAGCAGTCAAATGTGTGGAATTCTACACGTACAGGATGAGCCTATTTATACTGAAAGTGCATGAATGTTATGCTAATGGACTAGATAGACTGTCATAGCAGAGGTATGATCATATAGCAGTTAAATTAGCTACTTTGCTTATTATCAGTAACTCTAGCCAAGAAACTTTGCTAACTAGCTAGCTAGCTAGCAGGCTAACGCTAGCTTACACTAGCTATTAAAATTCATCAAGCTAATGTTAACATCACCTAGTTATCTACATGATTCAGTTAAGGCCCAAAGATTAATAGACCTTATGCGGCTCTTATTAACAACATTCTTTTTTTCTAACTTAAAATAACTGAAACCGATTTAACTTACTGTTTTGTAACCGTGCCAGTCAAGTTGAAGTAGTTAGTGGGCCTAAATGAGCATTATTTATGACGCACAGCAGTGCGATGCAGAGTGATACGTTAAACAAGCTAGTCCCAAATGCAAGGTCCACTTAAAACACTCGCTAACAGTTTGGCTAGTGACGTGGTCTATACCAGGGGTCGGCAACCCAAGTGTCAGGAAGAGCCATTTTGTCCTTTCAACAGAAATCATTTGACCATCTTGGCTGTAATGTGTCTCAGTATGTGCTAATGTGCTAGTATAGGCTAAAAGTATATAAACAAGACTTACTTTGCTCTGCTTTAAGCTTTAGTTCAGCTAGCTCAGCTCAGCTCCACCACGAAACCTTCCCCAAAAGTGAAATCATTTCTTGTAAAATGTCTCTCAACGTTCGATTTTTTACGAGGCTGAAGTCGCTTCTCATTCACCAGCTTCTTGTTCACATTTACCCGTTCCACCTTAAATTGTGCCTGAGTTGCCAGAATGTAACTACTGCAAGATTTAAGGTGGAACGAGACAATTCGAAAAAGAAGCTGGTGAAAGAGAAGCTGATTTAAGCATTGCGACTTTTCAGTATTTGACAGTTTCTCGTTGCAGATTAAATATATCGGGAAACCAGCTGGAGTGATTATGAATGCAAATAAGTCCATTCGTATCCAAATTATCGACGCTTGTCTTAAATCTTTCCCTTCGCTTTTTTGTTAGCTAACTGACTAGCTGGGCAAGACTGTTGACTGTTCTGCTGTGACCAGCAGTCTGCACGCCTGCAGGGTTAAAGGGTGAATTAGCAGATATAGGCTATATTAACTCCAGTGTTTAAGACCGTTTATTGTTGAAACTGTGTTAGAACGATCAGCAGAGTTTTATTTTACTGTAAAGGAGGATTATTATTATTTTTTTTTACCTACAAATCTGCTGTGGAGCCTGCAGTAAAAGAGCCGCAAGCGGCTTCGGAGCCACGTGTTGCCAACCTCTGAGTTAGTGTCATCACTTAACTGGGAAAAATATTGGTTAATGGTTAAGGACTTAGTAAACATGATTAAACTAGGTTTTGTTTTGTTTCTGCTAAAATATTTTTCTATAATAAACCATTCCCTAGTGAAGACCACCATGTGAACCAAATGTGAAGGTTGCCCAGGAGTAACAAGGCAGTGGCTTGTGTTTTTATTTTTGTTTTAGAAAAGAATCGAAGATTTTAGAAAACACACCTGTATTTTGCAGTTCCATGTTCAGAAGAGTTTGTAGTTTCCTGATTTGAGTTTGAGCAGCATGTTTAAGTGCCTGTTCTGAACGTTGGTCTTGCCAATAAAAAAGGACCTTCCTTCTTGTGGTGTTTATTGTAGGGAAAATACTTGTAGATGTTTAATTGTAAATCACTATCACTATTTATACACTATTAAAAATGCTATGAATCACTTATAAATGTCTTGCATGTCACTTTACTATATGGACAGTGAATTACTCACAAATATGAACAGTCAATCAACTTAAAGTCTCAAACTTTGTGTGGTGGTGGGACAGGTCCATAATGCTTATCCATTCCATGCACTATTCATCCATTCATGTAACATGCACTTTAGTCAGGATAATGTGGCTTCCATCACTTTTGTGTTAAAGGCAAAGCAAGGCAAATGTATAAAGAACATTTCTTACAAAATTATCAGCACCCCGAGTGAGGAAAGTCAAAGAGTCACCACTTGATTGTACTTTGAAGTAATGCAAAAAAAGGAACCATTCCTTGGGATATCAGTGCGTGTCACATTTAACCTCAAAGTGTCAATTACACAGGATAACCAATGCACACATCTTTCGGTAAAATGACATTGTAGTCCATATTAATATCATGTAAAACATGTATACGAATGATGATTTAAGCATTCATGAACGTTATGAAGTGTTTATGTAAGGTGATATGAATGTGTTATGTAGACACCCTTCAAATAAAGTGTTACCGTTTTTTCCAGGATGTAGAGATAATCTGTTATCTGATAACCATTTGCTTACCATGAAATTCTGCAGAAGAATATTTTCAACACAGAACCATTTGCATACAAGAAGATACTACATGTACAGAATGACTTTAAACCATTGACATATTATGAAAAAAAGGGTCCCAAAGTACTCCCTTGTAGAACTCCACATCCCATGATCCTTGGCTCAGAAAAAAATCCCATTTATATCAACCACCTGTTCACGATTTTTTAGATACACTGAATCTATTTGTGGGATCAAACCAGTAAAGCCTACAGCCCTCAACTTAGTAAAATTCCATGATCAACTGTATCAGATGCTGTCTTTAAATCCAACACAACCATCTCAAAAATGTTTCCTTCATCTACATCACTTCTCATGAGATCAATTAGATGAAGATCAATTTGGGATTTTCTAAAATCTGGCTATAGTTCATATAACAAACTAGTTTTGTAATATATTCATTTATCTGTTCCTGTATGATTTTTTCCTTAACCTTTAATAAGAATTGAGACCAGTCTATAACTTCCTGTTTATTTTTGTACAAATGAATTACTCTCACCGTTTTTAAGGCATCTGGTACTGTAGATGATTGCATAGAAAGATTAACAGTATGAGAAATACGAGTGATAACCTCAGCAGCATCTCTAAGAAATCTTGCTGGTAAATTGTCGAACCCTGGACCTTTATGAGGATTTAATTCATTGAGCCTTTTAAGAACCACTGCATCCAAAACTTTGGAAAAGGAGAAAGTGTTTTTTAATGCCTTTTTTTGTGAATAAAATGCTGAATATGTTTTTCATCATAGATACCTGAATGCTGTTGAAGTTTATAAAGCAATTTTTGAGCAACTGCAACAAAAATGAATTGAAATGTTCAGCAACAACTTTCTTGTCTGTTTTTATTTCTCCATTTACCTCCATATGTGTTTTATTCCCTTTAGTTTTCAGTGCTGTCTTGTACCCTGACAAATTAAAATTTATGGAATTTCTTAGGTTCTTTTTTTACATTCTAAAATGTTATTATTAAAAACTCATTCTTAGCTTTAATGGCCATTCTATTTACCTCATTTCCCAAATGTCTAAAATTAAGAATACTTATTTAATTGTTACTTTTCTTAAAATCTGCAGAGCTGGTATTCCTCAACCTATTAGTGTTTAATATAGCTACATTTACCCATTCTTCTGATCTGTTTGATTCTAGTTTTCATCATTGAAGCTACCAGATTTAAACAATGCAAAAATAACTTTAATTTTTAAACTATTAACTAGATCCTCTTTAATACAGCTTCTCATATTAATTCTCATATTAAGTGTATTATGCTGCTTAACATGAAAAAATACAGACCCCACTTAGAAGATTTTGTGTATGCTAGAGTAAAAACGAATGACAGTTTGACAGGTTTGTCAAGTTTAGTGAGGTGAGTGGAGTGAGATTTCCAGGCTGTAATTTTCAATTCTGCATGCACAGGTGCGTTTCCATTGTTACACTGCTTAAAACAATGTGTATTTTGACCAGGGGTGCCCAAACTTTCTCATACAATGACATATAGCCCACACAGTTCATCCAGCCATGGATACACACTGTATCTGTTAAATAATAACAGATCAAAGTACACAGGATATTACTATAGTAGTATAATAATAGTAAGCTATTATATAAAGCACTATATGTAGGGCTACATATGAAAATATTCAGTCTCAACACTGGCACTGACTTTATTTGTCTTTTTTCTGTTCTCCCTTTTTCATCATTTGGTGTTACTTATTTATAATAATTTCCATATTCATCAAATTATTATTATGGGATCTATGAAAATTGCTCCTACCTTTAATTCTGCAACAGGAAATCATCAGCATACAGCAAATAAGGAAAATATGCTTTCGGAAAATCATCTTTTAAGGTTAACAGTGGCCCGACTCCCAAATCGTGAAATCCTAGAACCTCTCATGGTGAACTGTGTCTCACCTTGGCAGTTTGAGAGAGTCAGTTACAGCAGAGGTGGAGCTTATCAAAGAGATAAAAACCAGTAAAGGACAGTGTTGCACAGTGAAGGAGCCCTCTCAGAAAGTACAAAAGAAGAAAGTAATAGTAAAAAGAGTAATAGTAGAAAGCAGTTTAAATGCCTTAAAATCTCATGGGATTCTAACCAACACAGTATCTTTTTAATCTAATAAAACAAAATATATTATTTAAGGTAAATTTGTGCTACAGTTAAACTCATCCCAAAATTATATAGTCGGCTGATGAGGAAGATCATGATTTCTTGTAGAAATCGCCACTGCTGCCAAATTTAAAACTTACCACACTAACATATTAGTTTTACTCTTCTTTAACCATTCTTTGGTAGAGCAACTTGTTTGCTTAGGGTTGTTGTCTTGCTGCATGACCCACGTTCTCTTGAGTTTCAGCTCACAAACCGATGTCCTGACATTTTCCTTTAGAATTTGCTGGTATAATTCAGAGTGTTCCATCACTGATGGCACACTGCTCTGGCCCAGATGCAGCAAACCAGGCCCAAACCATGATACTACCACCACCATGTTTCATAGATGGGATAAGATTTTTATGCTGGAATGCAGTACTTTCCTTTCTCCAAATATAACCCTTCTCATTTAAACCACAAATATCTATTTTGGTCTCATCCATCCACAAAACATTGTTTCAATAGTGTTCTGGCTTTTCCATTTGATCTTTAGCAAACTGCAGATGAGCAGCAATGTTCTTTTTGGAGAGCAGCGGCTTTCTCCTTGCAACCCTGCCATACACACAATTGTCGTTCAGTGTTATGCTGATGGTGGACTAATGAGCATTAATATTAGCCACTGTGAGAGAGGCCTTTCATTGCTTAGAAGTTACCCTGAGTTCCTTTGTGAAGAATGAAGGGTTTCTGGCATGATGGGTCAGTCCTTAGTGATTTCCTGAGTGTCCATTGGTCAGTTTCACACAAAATGTAGGCGGACATAGCAATCCACCAATTATCCACAGTGAGAGGCTAATGATGTGTTTTGCAACCACTCTTCATAGCCTCATAATTCTAGATTTGAGTAACATACAATCCTACGATAAGATGGAATCGAAAAGGGAACTCTACAGATTCAGGAAATGTTTGAACCATATTTCTCCACTTTATTATCACAAACATAGAAAAACATAAAATTTGAAGTGTGGGTGAGTTTGTAGACCCCAGAAGGTTAATGCATGTGGCTGCTCTGTGCTCTAGTTTGGATCATTTTTTGCACAACTGACCGGTTAGACTTGCAGGTATATAGGTATATACATGCACTAAACAATATGAAAGGGCTGTGCTAAACTGTTGGCTAAACAGGTGAGCATATGTGAACAAGTTGTTTTTTGTGACGTCACAAAAACAGCAAATTAAAAAATGACTGTTTTTGCAACTGAGTTTCCACACACAGACAGTACACTGTCAGAAAATGGCACTAAACTGACTAAACTGGGATGGCACCCCTTTTGACACCATATTACATTGTGATTAAATATTCTAAGTTCTATTAGTTCTTGCTTCCTTCCTGCCTATTTATTGTATTGTTCTATTTTACAACAATAGGTTATAAAATGGTACAAATATGCACATTTCGCCTGAGAAAAACGCATCTTTGTTAAAAGAAAAATGTACCTGCACACTTTTTCTGACAATGTACAGATTAGAGAGTGAATTATACATTACATACACTAACAGTTTTACATTCTACATTCTATCTCACACTCCTATTTAAAAAAAAGGTAGGAAAATTCTGATTTTTGATGATGTGGGCCCTTTAAAATGTTAAAATAATCTATTTTTTTAAATAAAGCATAACAATACATAGAAATCGCGGGGCATAAATAAAAACAGGATAAGAAAATAAGAATCATGTGGACAGCAGTCATGAAAAGTCATTTTCTCATGTTACCTGCCATAGTTAAATATGACAAATTGAAAAGACTAACAGACTACCGATCAGAAGTTTGAGTAATTGACTGTTTTTCATTGTAGAAAGCATGAATCTTAATTTCTCAAAGGTCTGTCTGCCAGACCAGTCAGACCAAATCTTTCTACCAAACCTGTCTTACCAGACGTTAACAGTCTGTCATGGGAAAGGATATGAACCATTAAACTGAGGCTCAGCAACAATGACTGATGATCTTTGCTGTTCCGGAAATTACACACAGCCATTTGAAAGAGAGAGAGCAATGTTAAGAATTAGTGTGTATGGATGACTGTGTAACTATTGACACTCTGGGCCCAATTACAGTATGACAAACATTAATAGGTGGGATTGGTAAATTCCAATTCTCAACCAAAATAGCAAGTTCTGTCCTGGCTGGCCCAACAATGTCATCGGCTAACTGAAAACTGCTTATTGTTCTACCATCAGTGCTGACTGTTCTTTTATAATCTTCCAGTGCATCAACCATGACACATTCCAGAAAGTTGTTGAAGCGAGTGAGTGAAAGTAGATATCCTTGCCATAGTTCCCTTTCGGTCCATTACTGTGGTGCTATAATACTGGAGCTCACTGACTTGCTCAAGGTTTGGACCAATGTTTTTCCTCATGGTTACCCATTAAGCTGCATGCCAAACACTGTTGAAGGCCTTCTTGATGTCCACAGAGACACAGTGAAGCTGTTGTTGGTGTGGCAGGTATTTCTCGCAGAGAATTCTCAGGTTAAAGATCTGCTCTGTGGTGCTCTGACCTGCTCTAAAACCTACCTGAAATGCAATGATATGCAAATCGTTTAAACCCTATATTTCACTGAAAATATAATGTACAAAGACAACATATCAAATGTTGGAACTGAGAAATTTTATTGTTTTTTTGAAAAATATATGCCCATTTTGAATTTGATGGCAACAACACGTTCCAAAAAAATTGGGACGGGGGCAACAAAAGACTGGAAAGTTGTGTAATGCTACATCTGAAGGATAAAATGAGTAACCCAGAGAGGCTGAGTCTTTCAGAAGTAAAGATGAGGAGGGGTTCACCACTCTGTGAAAGACGGTGTAGGCAAATAATGCAACAATTCAAGAATAACGTTTCTCCACATAAAATAGCAAAGAAGCTTTTCATCATCAACGGTAGATAACAACATTAAAATATTCAGAGAATCTGGAGAAATCTCTGTATGCAAGGGACAAGGCCAAAAACCAGTATTTGCTGGCCGTGATCTTCGGGCCCTCAGGCAGCACTGCATTAAAAACAGACATGATTCTGTAGTGGAAATCACTGCATGAGCTCAGAAACACTTCTGAAAACCACTGTCTGTGAAAACATTTTGTCACTGCATCCACAAATACTGTAGCTAAAGTTAAAACTCTAAAATGCAAAAAAGAAATCATTTATAAACAGGATCCAGGAATGCTGCCGCCTTCTCTGGGATGGAGCTCATTTAAAATGAACTGATATGAAGTGGAAAAGTGTCCCATGGTCCGACAAATCAACATTTGAAATTCTTTTTGGAAATCATGGACACTGTGTCCTCTGGGCTAAAGGCCACTCAGCTTGTTATCAGTGTACAGTTCAAAAGCCAGTATTCATGATGGTATAGGGGTGCATTAGTGCACATGGCATGGGTGATGTGCACATCTGTGAAAGCAGCATTAATGCTGAACAATATATGTGTGTTTTGGCAACATACGCTGCCATCCAGATGACATCTTTTTCAGGGAAGGCCTTGCTTATTTCAGCAAGAAAATGCCAAAACACATTCTGCATGTATTACAATAGCCTGGCTCCGTATTAAAAGAGTCCAGGTGCTAAAGTGACCTGCCTGCAGATCAGACTTGTCAGCACAGAACACATTTGGCGCATTATGAAAAGAAAAATATGACAAAGGAGACCCTGAACTGTTGAGCAGCTGAAATCCTATATCAAGCAAGAACAGGAAAACATTTCACTTTAAAAACTACAGCAGTGTCTCCTCAGTTCCCAAACGCTTACAGAGTGCTGTTAAAAGAAGAGGTGATGAAACACAGTGGTAAATATGCCCCCGTCCCAACTTTTTTGGAACGTGTTGTTGGCAACAAATTCAAAATGGGCATATATTTTTCAAAAAACAATCAAATTTCTCAGTTTTAACATTTGATATTTTGTACTATTTTTCTTCAAAAATATGGTTTACATGATTTGCACATCATTGCATTCTATTTTTATTTAAATTCTGCACAGCGTCCCAACTTTTTTGAAAATGGGGTTGTTATACTGACAAAGATTCTCAGTCACCACAACGCATACAGAAGATGGACCTGGCTGTTCCCAATGGAATATACCATAAACTGATTACATAAAGGTCAAGAAGTGCTTCTGCCAAGACGCACAGTTTCCCAGAAGCTGATATTGGTAGTGACTGCGACTTGGATTTGGACATGAGTTTTTGCAAGGCTTTGTGACGACAGCCATTGTAAAACGCACTGTACAAAAGAGTTCTGAATTATTTAAAACTGTACTTTAGTGCAGGTCAAAAAGTTTTTACACTTTTAGACAGTTAAATATTCAGGTATATAGCAAAAATATATAAATATAAATACATATAACTAAATAAATATACAAAAAAATGTAAAAGTAAATAAGAGATAAAATCAAATTATTCAACAGATAAAATTAAATGAAAAGTCAGGACATGATGTTTTTAGTAGTAAACCTTTAGTGACATCTCTATAAATTGGAAAGAAGTAGATAATATGTTTACAAACTGTAAGTATATATAAAAAGAGAATGAAAGTCATCATGTGGGTTGCAGTCATGAGAGATATATCTCTTATAAGTTTGCTGGCATGAGAAAAAAATATTACAAATTAAGATATTCCTAACATCACCATTATGAACTTTAAATAGCCTTTTGTAGAAGTTCAAATATAAATAGGAAAAACACTGCATTACACAAATTTTGCATTCTTAAAAAGCAAAAATATAGTCAGCCTATGTCACTGGTTAAAAAGTTTCAGCAGGAAAACGGCTGATGCCTCTGACAA